CTGCAGCTTACAATTTGTTAAACAGTGAACTACAAGCGCAAGTTTCTATGTATTCTATTGACAATAAGTAACAAATAATCATTGAATTTTTGGTATTCTTCTATGTATTTGACCAAGTAGATGATGGTGATGAACAAACAACATAATCAGTCGCATTGTATCCATTAGATTTTGTCGCCAATGTTTCCATCTGGAATATCCTGGCGTCTTAAATAACATTTTGAGTTGTCAAAAAAATATCTGGCAAATTAAACTCACAGTGATTTTGATAAACTGAAAATTTTATCGAGAGAGATCAGATGTTGCGCGTGCAATTAGAGCGTGTTTCATTTTTTTTGCGACATGTACAATTTCCCACGTGATAGAAACTATATATATAATTTTATGACATTGCAATTGCACGCGCATTTATTTCCCAGTGAAATGCAAATATTAATCCTAACTATGCCATGCTCCAAAGCCGTGGTCAAGAAATGATCGCGGACGTTGTAACTCGGACCGAAATTGTACAAAGCGTTAATCGTACAAAGTCGAAGGATGATCCCTTCTGCCCTGTCGTTCTCTAAAACGTACGTTTGAATATTAGAAAAAAAATTTATAAATCTTGCAAGATTTTTGTAGCGATTTCTCTACTCAAGTCATTCAAGTGTATTTTAATACGATTATACCGGGAAGGAGAGGGTCGAAATTTAGGTTTTGTCTACTCTCGCGTCTGTAACGAATCTCTCGTCGATTCTGCGACAAATTCAGTCGTTTGATGAAGGAGCAATAATTTTCTTTTGCCAAGAGCAAGAAAATTCAAAAAATTTAATTTTATGAATTCGGAGATATTTTTTAAGAAACACCATGCTGAGTTTACTTCAGCCTTTCCTCGCTTATGGCGCGCGAAAATATCTGGAGGAAGTAAATTCATTTTGGTGCTTAATGTTAAATCCTTGTAATTTATGATTTTGTGTAAAAAGAAAATGTATATATCGTTTGTTAGAGATAATATAATTATAAATTAGTACAATAACGGGTACAAATTGGTTTCGATCGACAGAGTGATTCGAGATCATAGTTCTTACGGCGATTGAGCTGCTTATTTGTGTGTATATCTGTTTTTCTAAAACTCGAGGTATCTATTTGGAATATCTTTTTTAGACACCGGTGACACTGTTTGCGAGTCTCTTGTTGTTGAAAATGTACGGAAACTCTTTTTCAGTAGTGCTCTGGGAACAATTTGGTCCCTAGAACACTCGGTGTACACGTGTGTGTATGAGGATGGATGCCGTGTGTAAATGTACGTGGTAATCTAAAATATGTAAATAATTATTGCCGAACTGGTACCGTTTTACGAATGTCCTGAGAATAGATGTAGTATATGAAAGAGAAATTCTATATATATGTATATGAGAGAGATACAGATTGAGTTTAAGAGATTTTAATGAATCGACGTATGAGAGAATAAAAATGATTTAATTATAATCGCAGTACGCGATATTTTTCTTCTTATCCTCAGCATCATTCGCTTATCTTCAGATCCTTACATCCCACGTTTGACACTAAATTTATATATTTTAAAGCTTGAGATAATATTGTGTATGACTTTATGTATCAGACAATGCAGATTATCAATATAAATCTTGATCTGTTTTTTTTTTTTTAATTTCGATTTGTAATCGCTACTGTACCTCGTTATAATTTTATTTCACCGCTAAATTCGAAACATTATTTTAAACAATTATTTAATAATAATTACACGATTTACAATCTAATCACGCATCTGAGAGATTATTCCGAAAAAGGATGAAAGATGCAGACATATGTATATTTTACGAATCGATTGCAAGAATAACTAAAATGCAATATATAGATATTATAGAGGAATCATAAGCTTCGAATGAAAGCTCGGTTTTACATACGTTTATTAAAGCTTCCGCAATACAATTTATTAATCATCATTTGCACAACCTTATGTTTCTCCTCGCGGCATGAACTATAAAATAACATTGCACTTTCGTACCGAAAGTCCGACAAACGCCACTTGATAATTTATTTTGTTTTTTTTTTTTTCGTTTCACAACCTATTCCTTCGTTACGAAGTGTCACGTCCTCGATCATGCTTGTTCTTCGATTTGCGTTGCGACACAATGCCGGCATTGGAAGATTATCGCTCTGTACCGTCAACGACGCAATGTAATAATAATATACAAAATAGAATATTTTGGAAATAACGCTCAGATTTGTACAACCGAAAAATTATACATTCACCGGTCTTGCATTTATAATCGTACTTTTTTCGTATATGTTATATATATCTCTATGAATGTAAACCTATATAAATGTACATACACTGTTGATTCTGTGTATTTAGTTTGAGTTTACATGCTTACACGGCACCACGCGAATGAGTATTTAGGACAGCGCGTTTGCTCGTGCGTGCAAATGAACAAACGAGAACTGTAACGATATCTTGTGACTTTGCGCGGACTGTATTAAATTAATTTTAATCTTTCTATCTTTAACAATCTGTTTGATCCAACAGAGATCCTTAAAATATACAGGTTACGAAGTCCTTGAAATTTACACAAGTTTGGAGGAACTTTAAATCTCGACGTTCATGTAACTTCCAAGGATCTATAGGCGATATTGAAAATCAAAGGATTAACGCATTCTGAATCCTAGATTATTGAACATCCACGGTCTCAATCGAAAGAGACATTAATGAATTCTTAAAATTTATTGATTTCATGAATGTCCCATGTATTATGGACTTAATTTTATTTTTTTGTAGACATTTATTGTTTATGTGAAGTTTTATACAATTCTTATAATCCATCTTTAGTTTTATAAACTCGTGGATTTACGAAAATATTTGTTTTCTTAAATTTTTAATTTTAAAAACATGACATTTCTTAATTGATAAATTTCTAATTTCGTATTTTTACATGTATAAATTTTCATATATTCTTAGTTTTAAAGATTGTTTTTTTCATAAAGACCGTGAATTTTCGGATCCAGATATATCGCAGAATACAGAGAAAGAGAGAGAGAGAGAGAGAGAGAGAAAGAGAGAGAGAGAGAGGGGAACGCTTTCGAACAGATTGGCGCACCTGACAGATATTTGTGACTTAGCAAAAATGTTCATTTGCGCGTAATGACGAGACTTATGTGACAAGAAAAGACTCTGAGATTCAACAAATTGGTCGCGTCGTATCGTCGATGTGTTCGTTTAACAATTAATCAACGAAAGTTATTTCCTGGTCGAAGAGCACTCGTACATTCTTTCAGTCATTTGATGGCGTACAGGATACTGAAGCCTCTACTTACGCGTGCCTCATTTATGCGATATATAACAAGAAAACGCATACACATAAAAGAGGCCTTTAGATTCTCATTCTGCTACTCAACACCATTACGTTATCCTACGTACAGGATACGAACAAAACACATAAATGAGATAAAGAGACAGCATTGTTTTTGTAAAGTCAAAAATCCAGCATGAGATACTGTATATTTATCACACAATTATTACAATATCGATATAATATTTTATATAAGATAGATTTAAACTTGTGATATGTGATCGCAAATACTCAAATTTTATTTTCAGATTGTAAATTTCGATTTGACAGATCTCGATGTTACAACATTAATTCTACTTCTTTACCGTTTATTGATTTATAAATTCTTAATTTCCTAAATAGTTTCTTTTTATTCATAGATATCTTTTACACACATATATAGATATATATTATATATATATATATATATGTATATACATACACAAATTCAATCTTTCGTAAACATTTGTAAAAACAAAATTCTATTTTTTATGAATTTTTGTTTCTGTATCTTTTTGTATTCACATAATTTGCTCGATTTATCAGCGCTCATTTTGTTTTATACTCTTTACTTTCGCAGCTCTTGAACTTTAAATAAAATACTATCTTTGCATTATCCCATTTTTGTGCCTCCGACGATAATTATTAAGCACGTCAATGCCAATATCGTTACATTACCTATACGTTTTGATTAATACATAGTCGTTATCATTGATAACAAACTCACCTACTGAGTATAAAGTGTCTTTCAACCAGTACGCAAATGCTAGTTATAAAAGCAACACGCATTCGCAATTTTTATGTATGTACATTTCTTTTCCAAATAAAATTTTTCGCCTTTTTCCTTTACCCACTTACAATAAATAATATATTATTATATTAGGACGCTCAACACGTATTCATCCTAATCAATTTGGCATAGGAACCTTGTTAACATACACATCGTTGAGCTCCATTTCTAATCAACAATTCTAATACTGTTCGTTCGACCGATTCAAATCGAAAAAATCGATTTCATCTTCTTTTCCGAGAATAATCACGAATGTTCCATGACGCGAAGCCACGCCTCGTAAAATGTTTCTACAAAAATGTATAAAGTAAGAATTAATATATAATTTACAGATTGTGTGTTATATATACAAACGTACAGTCTCGTCATGGAATGGTATACGACAATATATTATATTTAGATTAAATAATCTTACGATATCAATCCTCTTGTAACTACGTATACAATATTAAATCTCTAGTTAAAAAAACAATAATTGCTCGATTTACAGACCTACGATACAAGATCCGTTACACATTTTTGTTATCCCAGATAACAAAAAATGTCTAAAATTGGGTCATAAGACGTTTCATATGTTTTTTAGAAGAACTCAAATTTTTTTTCCTGAATCTCAATAAATTAAAAAAAATATATATATATTCTTTTTAAATTCTGATTGCATGAAAATCTTAGAATTTTAGTAGACAAATTAAAAAAAAATTTGCAAATTTTTACATGTTTTAAGATTTATTTGATTTTATCTATGATTTCGAAAATGTTTCAATGATTTCTAGATCCACGAATCCAACATTCGTATAATCTAATAAAATTCGATAGAACTTTATAGTTAATATTCATTTTATATGTCTGCATTTTGTTATAGATTCAACTATTCTTGTTGCCAATCAATATGTGAGATCAATAAAAAGAGAACAGTTTTCTAATAGAAAAGATAAAATGGATAAGCGGTATGTAAGATGTTCTGATCATAAAATACGTATATATTTAGTTAAAATTCACGTTATATTCTGAGTTTATCTCGTCCATTATCTTTATCGTGTTAAAACTGTTCCAAAAAGGGAGGCTGCCCATATTTACATACTAATTCAAAGTCCATTATATCCAAATTTTATTACAGCTATAATTCGTAGCAAAATGTTCAAACGTCGGTGACTCTTATCGATGCTTGAGAAGAGTTTAACGAGAATATCTGTGTCCGGGATGTGGAACTCGAAAGCCGTCGAGATCGAGATTCCACTGTAACGTGGGTTCAGTTCGTCGGGTGACTGTTTCTACGTCTTAAAAACACTCTGCTATTGACCGGGTAGACTCTAGTCAAGAGTATAAGCGAACTGCCCAGGGCTAGTTTGACGGGTGCTTGGCGGCCGCCAGGTAACCTGATGAACACTGTCGCCACTGCTGCAACACCATCATCGGTGGGTTCGACAGCCACCGGTCTCACATCGCTGTGAAAGCTCACGTGTTTGCCTCGCCTGCCCTTACGCTGCGGCGAGCTCGGGCTACACTCGCCGCCGTCCCGGTCATAGAGTATTGTCGCGGTAGCAAACGGTCGTTGCGCCATATGCAACATTTCTACGACGTGTCGACGTCGGGCACGACGTAAATCTGTCGATTGCTTTGCTTTCCACGCAATCACGCACGCCGCTAAGAACAGAAAGAAGCAGGAAAAGAAGCACGAGAAGAAGACGAACAGATCGATGTGCAACTGATCCTGACGGAAAAAAATCATCCCATAGGCAGCGTGACCATACAGTTCCGAATCCACCGGGTCGATCGCTTGTAACACTATGTGAAACTTGGTCTGACCCAACTCGTGTCTGTCTTGTGGCAACATCAGTACCAGTCGATTTGTCAGATTATGGATCATCACAAAGGAGTTTCGTCTATCGATCGTCAGAAAAGTGGCAATATTATTCTCGAGCCAGTCCTCCATCACAAAATACTGTTGTCCGGTGTTCCATCGAATTGGCTCCATGATAGTACCATTAGCCCCACCAAGATGAGAGTGAAATTCAACGATCCGGAATTTGTCAGAAGGCTGATCAGGCCGTAATCTAAATCTGTGATCTAGTTCAACCTACGGATGTAATATATATTCTAGACATCTTTTTTGATAGATAAAGAAAAGTATTGTAAAATTTATACCATAAATGTGCAAAAATTGAAAAGAATCATAATTATGTTTCATATAATAATTAATAAAGTAGCTTAAAATAATGTAGCTTATACCGATTTTGATATTAGCATGAAGACGAAAAATTCAAATTTATAGATCGTTTAAGAATTAAAAATTTTTTTTAATATAAACCATTTTTAAATATAACGATCTTTAGAGTACAAAATAGTAAAAAAAAATTTAGAATAGGAAAAATTAAGTCGTACCTTTTGATATCCAGTCGTTGAATTTAAAGTAACGACGAAGGAATCATCTCGCGGACTCAAAAATAGATCCAAAGCACCTTGGGTGACATCCACTATCATTCTGATGTCTACGTTCATGAACCGCGGTTGCATCATGTAGAAGACGGTTTGGCCAGGGTTTAGGGGCTTCGGTTTCATCTTGCATTCGTCTGAAATAAGGAAATGTAAAGTTTCCTATTAGACGCGCGAAAATAGCAGACTGTCAAACAGCTTATAATAGAAGAAAGAAGATACGAACCGAAGGATACGTAAGATGCTCCCACAAAACAGAACGTTGCAATTTAAGAAAAACAATTACTTGACCAAAGTGTTAAACGGTGAGTATAAACATATTGAAGTGAGTGTCGAAATTGTAGTACCAGTATTTTTAATCGAAGTAACATTGATTAGTATGTGTTAATATTAACATTATTTATTTTTGTATTAAAAAGAAATAACAGCACATAAGTGATTTGAAAACAAAAATGTATCATCACAAAATTATCAAATTTACTAAAAAATAAAAAAAATTGTACAGGATATTATACAATTTTTGCGCATTAGACGTATTAATTTAGTTATCGTTATGATGATATGAAGATTCAGTCTGTTTACAAAATTACATGCTCACCTATTAATTTCGAGTCAAAACACATTTTATTGTCGACTGTGACAGTCTTGTAGCACTGATGGCCCATTGTTGGAGTGCCAGCGTAGTTCTCTCTGCACTTGCTGCACTGTACCATCCAGCATGGTGTGCCGCCTGTATTCGTACCCTTTATAGGACCGCTGATGCAGGACGGTTCACTCTCGGTGTTGTTACCACAGTTGCACTTCTCGCCAGTCACAGGATCGCACGTGAAACCATGGCCGTGACACTCACAAGGCCGACACACGTCTCGGAGGTCTTCTGTCCCTCGGAAATAGCCGGTCATGCATTCGCCGCATTTGTCGCCTCTTGTGTTGTTCCCGCAGTTGATGCATTTCGCTTTCGCCACCGGTCCTTCTTCTAGTTGTCTACTCAGCTTCTCTATTGACATCTTGTCTACAGAATTCGGATCGGGTACGGTCACGTTGTCGTTGATGCAGATCCGAGTATGCCCGTTGCAATATTCGAGACAGGGCACGCATTGACCGTTATCCGCAGGATTGCCGACGTACAATGGTAAACATTTCTCGCATTGCTTTCCCATCGTGTTGTTGTGACATTTTGTGCAGTTATCGAGCTTATCTGGACCAGCGCAATCACTATGACCATTGCATTGGCATTGAATAGAGCAATTTGAGCCGACGTAACCGAAGTCACAACGGCACAGGTCGGGCTTAACACATGTGCCTCTCACGCAACCCTGTGTACACATGGGCACGCAAATTTTCTTACCAAAATCGTTTCCCCAGGTGGTTTCGGTCTTATATCCATCTCCGCATTTGCACTCAAAGCCCTCCTCCAAGTCAAAACACTTCTCGCTCTTCGGCGAGCACGTGTGATGCCCGTTCTCGCACTCGTTCTCCGGTGGACAGCGAACGTAATGCCATGAGAAATTTGGTTTCGGTATCGCAGTGAGCAACGACATCGTAACATTGTCCTGCACTTCTGAAGAGTCCACATGATATGGATGCAATGTGGTGGTAATTGGCGGCTCGACTTCTGGGAAGTGTTGATGATAAAGCATTTCGCAGGTACCGCCCGCTGGATGATCCGCTGGCGCTTCAAGTGATCCTTCTGTGCATATTCCTTGACCGGTAACATTAGCAGAGTCTAAGGAGCACCAGCCGCAATGCGAATGTTTCAGACAGATGCTGCATTGCTTGAACACTGAGCATGGTTCCGGACAGTGATCCATATCCGCGTTACGCAACACCAAACCGCAAACACCGCCGGCGCAGTAAAGTGGCTGATACGATGGCGAGATGCACTCATTCAATTGCGTAGACCATCTACATTCACTCCATCCACCTTCGGCTCCAGTACCCTTCAGACAACTCTTGCAATCTTTGTGTTCAGAGCATCTCTTTTCGCACTGCGTGCTGCTCATCTTGATGCTAGTTCGTTCGAAGATGTTAATCTTCACGCAGTTCCAGTCGTAAACGGGCTCGCCCGTCAGCTCCATTCCCAATTCGTTAGTTTTCAGTACCTGCCTCGTCCACACGCACTCATCCAGATTATAACACTTCTCGCAATCACTTGCCGGACATAGTCGCTCCCCGCATTGATTCACGTTAATTACCGATGTATCGCATCTAATGTCCTGTGTCTGATCGTTGCAATCTTTGTCCGATGGAATGCACTTACCGTGTGGGCAGTTGGTACACCATTTGCAAACAGATTCGTTGTCTTTGTAATACGGCCACTCCGCCAGACATTCCGTGCATGTTCTGAAGGTCTGGCACTTCCTGCTCGCCATCCAATCCGAATTGCAGAATACTCCGTTTGATCGTTGCGCTTGAGTCACGTTGATGTCACACTTGTCACCCCGGTTACTTGATACTTCGTTCGAGAAACAAAAGGAAGTGTTGGTGCCATTGAGAGTAGTAACAGCGCAGAATGAGCAACCAAAATATTTCCTGCACGTGATCTTATCCTTCCAAAGATTGCACAGATCCTCCGGTATGTTAATCAATGTGACGTAACTCTTAATACCGCCATCAAAACCACCAACTACATAAATGGCGTTCGACTCTGGATCGGCATGGGTCATCGCGTGAGCGTAAGCTGGTGGTGGTGGACTGCCGATAGTCTCTGTGTCTTTCGTTATCAAACGTATCCATAGGTTGCATGAGTATTTGTACGCTATTAGCGAATCTGAGGTGTTGTGAGGATTTTGCCGGCCGCCAAATATCACCATATATTCATCCGTCGTAACTGCGGAATGAAGAAATCTAGCTTGAGGTAAACTGTTGCCATCGGTGAAGTCGTCTTCAAATGGTGGTAGTACCGACCACATTCGTGTTTTATAATTCAAGGCATATAATCTGTTCGAGATAAACGTTCTGTTTACCGCATAAGTGTAACCACCGAAGACATAGAGACTATCGGACTTACTATGATATACCGTGGAATGACCGTAAACACCTACGGGTCCGTTCCCTACAGTGTCCACTGTATCCCAAGTCTCAGTTTCTAGATTAAACTCCCAAACCACGTCTAAATATCCGTATTTAGGACTAAATCCACCAATCAGAATCAGGCTCTCCGACTCTCCATCTCTACGTAAGGTTAATGTGTGACCAGCCAGAGGCAGCGGCTCTTTCTTTAAATCATCCTCCACAATTTGGCTCCATCGTTGATTTTGCAAACTAAACTTCCAAAAGTCACTGAGGGTATTGTTCGACAGTCCTTGTACGTCTTCGTCCTTCATTGATAAGCCGCCATAAACATAAATTTGTTGCCTACTGTGCACAATTTCAGCTGCGTGAAAGTAGCGACCCTGTGGCATGGAGGCCTCTGAGGTAGATTCTACTGTCACTGGCATCCATGTATTGTTTTTCGTGTCGAAAAGTCTAATGTCATTCAAAGGTCCGTGACTAAGCGAATAACCGCCAAACATCCATAGACTACCGCGTCGATCAGCCACCAGGCTGTGTCCAAAACGTGGCAACGTTTTCCTCAAGTGGTCTAGATGATCAGCCAAATATTCCGAATTGAATAGTTCCGTGAATGTTAACTGATAGTTTTTAAGTGAGATAGAGCAATCGCGTCCACCATAGCCTGGCGCACAAACGCAACGACCATAACCCTTGTCACAGATGCCGTGTTTCTCGGAAGCAGTACAGTTTTCCGGACAAATCTCCACATCGCAGTTAATGCCGACGTAACTGGATTTGCAGAGACAATTACCATTGCGGCATTCGCGGTTTCCTGGGCAGTTGTTGCATGTCATTATCACATAGCTCGCATTAAAACCCTCCACTTCGTCCAGTTGTTTATAGTGCACTGTTAGAAATCCGGATTTGGCCTCTACCGTGACTGGATAGTTGGTGCTTTCTGTGCAGTACACACCCAGTAATTGGCTCTGATGACCACCGGTAGATGAAACGAATTCAGGTAGACCGTCATACACATACACGCTGTTCTCTTGGCAACTTACATTGATATCATCATGGATAGTGAATTGTATCACGCTCTGAATTGTTGGAGTGGTCGCATCTAAAGAGAAATCTCTCTCAGGACCAACAATCCAGAGACACTCTCTTGTCGGTGAGTCGCCCATGTAATTATCCCAAAGTGAAGATTGCGAGTGTCGACTACCAAGACCTTGTTTACCGTTTCCTTCGCCGCCCAGCATACCCCGAGACATGCAGCCGTAGTAACACATTCCACCGTTACGCGGATCTCCGTAATAGTCCCGTTTGCAACGCTGGCATTTATCGCCTTCGGTGTTATCACGGCAGAAACACATGCCAGTCTGCCGATCGCAAACGCTGAGCTCCACATCGCCATGCCCATTGCAATTGCATTCGCGACAGCCTAATGGTGTCGTCGCGTTTCCATAACTTCCTGCTTTACATTCTTCGCAGTAACGTCCGATCGTCCAGTCTTGACACTGATCGCAAATGCCTGGTCCCTGAAAATCCAAAAATTAAAACGCTTGAATATATAAAAAATTAATAGCAATATTATCAATCTGTAATAAAAACACAGTATTTTGTGGCGCTAAACGAATACGAGTCCTCGAGACCCAAAATTTCTTGTTAAAGAAGGGAGAGAGGCTATCAGGTAGTCATGATAACTCATTTCCTAGCCTCCCTTCTTTTAGGAAATAGTCAACCTTAGCAGAAGAATCGACCATTCCTTCGCTCTCTCCACATATCGCCACTTCTATCTCTCCATCCATCACACACCTACTCTCATTCAAACAATCCAATCAATTTTGTAGATTTTCGAGAATTAACGATAAAAACAAATTTTCATTTTCTATGTGCAATCATTATTTACCTGCAAGCATGTGGAGTGGTTATAGCAGCCGCAATTGGTCCGACAATCCGGTCCAGTCCAGCCCAGGTTGCATTCACACTTGTAATCCGGCGCCTCGCTGCAATATCCGTTAACGCACCTCTCATAGCAAGTCTTTGTACAATTTTCTTTGCCATCGCCATTAAAACCGCGCTTGCATTGACAACTAAAGCTGCCGTGAGTATTGGTGCAAAGCGCATCTGGATGACAGTCATGCAGACCAAGATCGCACTCATCTACATCCGGGCACTGTGCGTACGCCCAGCCAGATTCGTCAGCGTTCAGACTGCTGTTTCGATACTCGTTGATGATCGCACTGCAATTGACGTGAGCCTGATTAAAATCGCCCTGCACGCATACGCCAGTGATAGGATTCTCCAGGCTATAGCACCAGCCGCAACTGAGTGAATGCAGACAATTGGAGCAGTTGGAGTGCCGACTGCAGCTCTTGCACTGATCGTTGCCAGTAAGTGATGAGCCGCTGCGCGACGTGACGCCCATCAGGCCCGCTTGATCCATCCATTCCCGGCATAAACCGAACTGGTATTCTGATGTGTACACCGAGAATGAGAAACACTCCCGCGTAGCCTCGCACCATACGCATCTGCCACGCTCATCCAGGCACTTCGTGCAGTTAGAGCGTTGTCGGCATGGAATTGGGCACTCGTACGGACTTACCACTGCGTTAGGTAATCGACCGATTCGTGCGCATCTCGCCTCTTCCGTCCACCACTCACACAGATTAGTGTTCACACATGACTCGCAGGAGATGTAATTGGAACAGTTAGCACACGCTGAAGGCGTAATCGTCAAATAGTGCCATTCACGAATCGTCTCGCCGCGCTCCTTATCCCATTCTATGTTTTTTACGCAACTCTCTGTCTCATTAACCGAGCGCGGTAGACATTCGTTGGTAATATCGCACCAACCGCACGAAGAGTCAGTCAAACAGTGCAGACAGTTGCCATACTGATGACAAGAACCGTTCTGATATGGCTCCAAATACTCGAATGTAAAGACCTTTGCATTTTCCATCTTCTTGTTGTGCATGATTTCCATTTTACTCGCATAAGCGTAGCTCGTAGTCACCATTCTTTTCGATTCGAAGTCCAATAAATAACGACCCGACTGCAATTCCATAAAATCTCCATTTGGCCATGTCATTGGCGGCGTACACTGTGATGTCTCCGCAGTTAGATTGGCGACCAATTCCTGAGTAAAAATAAAAAGTTATGGATATTTAAATTTCAACATAACTTGAAAATATCAAAATCGTTTAATTGGTTCATGTGCGCGTGATAAAAATATTTCAATTAACAAATTTTCCTCAATAAATAAAAATAAAATTATTTTAAATAATTTCAAATTTTAAATTCACTTTTTACTTTCACACTGTCTTGTAATATTTTTATAATTTTTATTTTTTTTACTTGCCAATACAATTATAAACTCTAGGAAAGAAACTAAATAGTAAGAATAGCTTACGAGCTTATCAGGATCGTCGTTTCGCGACACGTGAAGCGTCGCGCTATTATAACTGACGCAGATCTTCAGATGCTCCGCCGCGCTGTCCCAAAAATAATTCGGTGGTCTAAGAAAGCCAGTCAACCTGGCAATCATTTCGCCACCCAATGCCGATTCTGTCTTCGCACCTTGCATGGATGGCACATTAAAGTCAACCGTGGTCGCGTTCACTATGGCGACTGAATCGGGTTGGCTGAAGTTCACTGGTGGCTTGTACTTGAGGAAAGTCAAACCCGGTCTTTTATCCATTTCTCGACACTCTTCGACCTTGGTAATTTCCGTGCCTTTTGAACCCCACCAACCCGGTATCTGTGAAGGCGTGTCATCCCGCAGACCGCATACCCCGTAATTGTCATCTTTGTGGTGACAGCGAGCGTTTTGGACACACCAAGTACACGTGCCTAAATTTAGTTTATTCGAGACGGATTTCCTGCCACGAAAATTCGTACCCCAACCACCACCGGGTTGACCATGTATTAAGCAAGAATGACAATCGCCTAGAGCAGGACAAACTCCCGGACAGCGCGTCGTTTGTAGATTTGTCGTACAATTGCTACCTATCGTCCGACCATAGCATATCTGCAGTATATCAAGAAATTTCATACATCAGAATCTATATACAAACAAAAGCTATTTATAATTATATAACAAGATTAATGAATAAAATACTTCATCCGCGGAACACCAGCCACATTCTGGATTTGCTGCACACTCCATTAGGCTTTTATGCCTCGAGCAAATTTGCTCTGGCTCGATATAATCTTCGTCTCCTGGTGCTAACATAGGCGGCAAAATGTATGCAAGAAGATCCGCATTTACATTGCCATGATATCCACCAACGAGTAACAAGGTATTTCCATTACGCACATCTGCCGCATGAGCGAATACACCTTGTTGCTTAGGATAACGAGAATCTAAAAGTGAAAAAATTAATTTAAATAGATATAAATATATGTAAAAGTAAATATGTAAAATAAAATTAATTTACCTTACCTTTATCGTTTAAACCTAACACTTCGTGGCTCACCCAAGTGTGACAGCCAAGATGATAAAGATACATCTGATTATCATAACAGATTTCCTCTTTGTTATGTCTATGAGAATATCCGCCAAATACCACCAGATAATTTCCTGCCATAATAATACAAAAAATAAAAAATGATGTATTTTACAAGTATTAAACAAACAATTCATATTCAATTTATATATAATTCATTATTTTAGCATTATTTTTAGTGTATATTTTTACATAAAATATAAGCTTTACATATAATTTAAAAAAATGTATATATCTATTCATATACATATATTCATAATATATTCATGTATTTTATCTCTAAAAATTACTTTATTCTTAATAACAAGTAATTACCTATGATATTACATGTGTGGAACGCGCGTTCTCTTGGCACATATGTCTCTCGCAAGTGCGCTCTCGGATAATGGATCTCGGACCAGACCTTTCTATCTAGTTGAAAGACGAACATTCGATCTGATAATTTACTGAAACGAGCGACGCTGGCGACTACACCGCCGTATACCAGGAGGGAATTGGTAGCACGATGATATACAGTCGAATGCGCTACGACGCGCACATCAAGTTCCTTACCGCCTCGAGGTCGTACTTCTATCCACCTTTCATTAATCGCCGTAAGATCCGCTGTAAGTAATCGTTAATTATGTTAATATTTTTTCATACATGTTTCATATATGTAAAAATTATATAAACAGACATCTTTCACAGATTTGCTTTTTTTATTTTAATAAATTGACAGTAAATAAACTTAAACTTACATAAGCGCAACTTGATTTTATATAGACTGGACGAAAACTCTCCATCAACAGTACTGCCTCCGAATAGATAGATGTAGTCACCTGCCAAAGTTAGAGTGTGCCTCGTGAGGCTGGGCGGATAGAAAGGAGAATTTTTAGCGCGTAACGTCCACATGCGTTTTATCACATTATAATGCCATAGTTCGTTCGATAGAGTACCATCTTCCACCTTTCCTCCATAGACCACAAAACCATCTAAAAATATAAAGATTTTTTTTCGTTTTGCCGATAAAAATTATATAGTTTAAAATTTATAATTTTACAATTATAAATCATACATTAGTTTGTTTAAATGCTATGATAGTAAATTAAAGTAATTTTATATAATCTTTTTTATTTCTCATCTATATTTCTAATAAATGCAACTAAAAGATTTCTTCTTTTATTTTCACTTTTAGACTTATCATTATATTATAAAACAAACTAGTTTCAATGCTAATTTAAACACGCAAACAAAATTAAAGTAAAAACAATATTTTCTAAAGCAAGGTTATCAACTATTCGTTTTATTTTACATTAATTAGTACTAAAAAATATAATTTAAATGTTAACAGACCTTGGTATTTGCACGCAGCATGACCATATCGAGGACTCGGTTTGGGTAATTCGTCAACGGTTGGCTCTGTAACTTCCTCTTTCAACGAATTACTTGTAGTTAATTTTGGATTCGTAAATTCTGGAGTGAAAACGTTTTCCTCCGCGGATTCCGCTACGATTTGCTCCTCCCATTTCACATCATCGTTCTGCATATCTGTTGCATCACGATCTCTGTATAAGTTTTCCAAGTTTCTGCGATATCTTTAATAAATACAACCACATATGTAATAAAATATAATTTCAATTCTAACTGTACACAAATAGGGAGTACATAAAGAATTAACATCAAACTTTAAACGAAATTACGCTTTTGAGACTTTCACGGGTATTTTCTTCAATTATACCAGAAGGTTTGCGAGTTATCGCCGTGTCTTTCTTCATTATACTGCAGTATCAGCGCATCCCTCGCCCTGATGAAGTGAACGGCACGGTTCACCAAACGTTAACATTAATAATGAAGAAAGACACGGCGATAACCCGCAAACCTTCTGGTATAATTTAAACGAAATTGTTTTAAAGATTACTTTAATTAATTGATAAGTCTTTATTTATGATTCTAATTAAATTCCAATTAATAGAATATAACAAACTTTTTGTATACATATGTATAGATCTTACCAATTTTTACATCTTTACATAAGCAAAATATAAAATCAATAGTATAGTGTACTGAATATCCAAGATATTTTTAAGATATTAAATTAATAAGTGAGTCACTTACTACCTTGACATTTGCGAATATCGCGGTCTTATATTGCGGGGATGCTTTCTCCTTGGATCACCGTTCCTATCGATCCTAATAGTGCTTCTGCTTTTTTCAGTTTCCTTATCTTTAGGCATATTCCTAAACTCTCGTGAGTGTTGACCGTCAACATTCCGGTCGAGCAGGCCAAAAGTATTGTTATCTTTAATACTGTAAAGCACCTTCCAGAATAAAGATGACGTTGGTAGGCCGTATATTTCTTTGGCACCAGGATGGCGTTGTAATTCGGTAGCGATCAATGTAGGATCTAAATATTCGGCAGATGCGGCGCCTTCTATAAATATTAAAAATGTTAAGGTTTTTTTTTGACGTTTAATATTTAAAGTAGAAAGAATTACGTAAAATTTGTGTATTAATTTACCTAATACATTTCCATATTCATCTTCCCATTCACTTGTGCTAAACCTATATACTTCTAAGTCACTGAGTATATAATTGAGATCGTAGCCGCCAAAAACATAAAGTGAGTCTGTTTCCTGAACATAGATCGCTGTATGAGCTGCGCGTGGCCTCAGTCCACCTTCTGAATGCGAAAGCCAATGCCACCTACACAAATAATTAATTATTAAAATTTTTTATCTATACATATATCTCTCATCTATATATATTACATATTAATCTATGCAAAATTTAATACAAAATATATAATATAAAAATTTATTATTTTGTCATTAAATAATAATATAAGTACAAAAGCATAAAGATGTAATTGAATAGGATAATGTACCGATTTCCTTCCGGATGAGTTTTGTGCAACGAACAAGATTGTCCGGAGTATCCATTGTTGCATTTGCATTTTTTAACCCCGCAAATACCCGCCTGACTGCAATTGTTTGGACAGAGAGATCGGGAACAATCTTTGCTTCCCCAATCATTTTCGCAGAAGCACGTATTATTAATACATTTTCCATGATGAGTACAATTATTCGGGCAATCCGTGACCGAAAATTCTGCATGGAAACCGTCTAGGACATAATTTGTGTCACTATATAATAATATCAACATCTGTAAAAAAAATAGTAACATTAGAGTATTTTGCACTATATATACGTATATATATTTATATTTATAATTAGTTTTTATAATTTCTCTTATTAATAAAAATTATATTTTTTGCATATTTAATTCACACCATATAACATCGCTCATTAATGTAAACTATGCAATGTTGTGAAATCATAAATCTGCAATACATTATCTAATGTTATTACTGTAGAATATACTTACATAACCAGATGATGATGTCACTTGCTGCGGCTCTGTTTTGCCACTGAAGCTACCTAGAAGTGGTGAACGAAAAGAATCTCCATCATAAACAAACACATAGTCATAACTACATTCTGTGCCCATCGTCCGAAAACTTAATGTAATAAATTGGCGACTATGGTTAGCTACAACAAAATATAGAATATGCATATTATAATTAGAATATCTATATTATAATTATACTTTAATATTTAAAATCACAATAAGTTTTTTTATCTGCACCTTTAATGAGCCATTCACAATGTGAATCTTGAGTATAATTTGAGCCCATGGGCCCATCACTGATGATTCCCCATGATTCCGTGAAGACTTTTCTCGTCTTATCGCACGGCACCTGCTTTGGAGATGCCTGTGGAGCTAAATAGAAGCCCGGCAGCAGGCAACTCCATGTTACAATCCATGTTATGGTGGATGTCGTCCACCCCATCACAGTGTGTTCACCTCAATATCGTTTAATAGCACATAGGTCATCATTCATAAGTATTAAATAATTTCTTGAGCAATCATGCGGTGTATTTACAGAGAGTCATATCTGGAAAAAAAAATTTATATTAATTTATCCATGTGTGTCATATGAAGTTTTTAGAACAAGATATGGAACATCTTCATTCACCCAAGAACAAATTTACACAGCTGTGTGTATATTACAAAGATTCATACACAATTACCACATTTACAGGATACAGTATATTACACGACTGAACTTTAAATACTGTTTTACAATGGTCTCAGATATCTCAAGTTTTGAAAATGGTTACTGTATTTCATGTAATGGATGCTATATATTGATATAATATTATATTATAGAATAAAAGGAGATGTGACACATTGACTATTTTTCTAAAATATAAAATTCACACTATACATATAATGCCCACTAATATTGTGTCAGACATATGCTATTAGTGTATGCTTAGCGCAAATGGCAAACACATGTTAGAAACAGCCAAAGTATAATTGTCCTTGAATATTGCATTGTCAATATTATATCAATGTAGCATAACATATCAATACAGCAATAATTTTTTACTTTAGAATTTATGATAAAATTTACATTAGACTGTTTAGATTTTTACGATAAAATAATGTCAAATCTCAAGTAGTGGCATATTTTGCAAGACACAATGCAAAGTGCAAACCGAAGATTTTTTTTAGAGATTGTGCCGTCACTAATGCACTTCTGTGTATCAAAACTTATCATCGCACAGTAAGACAAAATTAGCGGCCGAAGGATATTATTAACAATCAAAGGAACGCCAGACGATCGACAATTTTTTGTTAACAAACGTCACGAGTGAGCGTGTGAAACATTCACAACAACGTACACCGTCGTGCAACGTGTTGAAGGACAATCTCCCGGAGCGTGAGCCAGCATCGCGCGAGAACGCAAGGCCCTCGGCTCCTGATCAATTTGCAAATAAGCACAAATAAGCAAATGACATACACGCACACTCTCGCACACGCACCCGTCGCGTGAATACACATAGCGCGCGCGCGCGCGCACACACATATCACGCACACACGTGTCCATGAACTTTCCGCACCTATCACGAGACGAGGACGACGGCGACGTCGAGTGCAGCATAATATACTCTAAGGGAACTCGCCTTGCGCTTGTCCTCAGAAAAAGTCGGAAAAGTCGCAGAAACCGAGTAAAATCCTGGGAATTAATGGTCACACCTCGCTGTCGACGGGACGGAGTCGCGGACTCGCGCGCGGTATCCTCCGGCAGAGATGGAGGGAGAAAGGATGGATAGAGGGAGGGAAAACGAGAAACGGAGTGTATCAAAACATCATCGGGAGGGGAAAGTTGTAAGCTGCCCGAAACAGCCCGAATGGTGTGAACGAGCACCTTGATGGTACCAAAAGATACCATACGAAGCACCGAGCTCTCCGGTGACAACTTTATAATTAAAATGCCTTTTGAGTCTTATCGCGGGCGAAAAACATGCGACAAGTTACAGGCGACGAAACGTGCCAGGACTGCAAGCGACCGTGACATAAAATAAACCCGCCGCGAAACGCAGCGAAACGAAACGTCGCCAAACGGTAGGGACTGCCCCGCTATGTGCATTGCTTTTTATGGTCGCGCCTAAGGGAGGGGGAAGCACCGCGGCGTCCATTATGGATGCTTAATTTAAATAACGATGATAATGCGATATGAGTCGATATTTATTACAGACTTCGGCGCGTCAATTATGCAGCAGTTCTTTAGCTTGTAATTTTTTATATCGTATATATATAATTGATATTATAAAATTATATTATAATATAATAATAGGGTATAAAAGGTGTGCCCAGTAAAAGAGAATGGATTAAGGTAAATTGAAATAAATTTGTTTCTCTGTTTATGAACATTCATAATTTCTTCTTTATAAATAGAACAGTATGTTTATATTTATTTCGATCAAAACAAGAATATTCCTATTCAATACTATGTACTTGATAAATATAAATTCTTGAATATCGCAATTTTTTACATATTTCCGATAAAAATTGTTTGAAAAATATTTGTATGAGATAAAGATTATCGATAATATATAACGCTTTAATGCAAATATCATTCTAATAATTTCAGATAATAAAAATCCATGTCTTTTGCGATTACTTTTTATTCATATATATCAATAGTGTGAACGTGGATTCATGCTTACTTAATTATTTGTGTGAAAACGTAATAAGAAAATGTATAATCTTCTGATATTATAAAACCTTCTGATATTATAAATGTATGAAACATAATTATTAGTTTTAATTCTATCTGTAAATTGTGTGCAATGCAAAGTTGATGAGCGCACACATTCCCAAGTAAAACACAGTCATAATAAAATTATAATAATGAGATGTGTCATATTAAGACGTCATCATGATGTCATTTGATACTTAAAAAATGAACTTATATGTGACAAATAAGTGACAAATAAGATAATGATGATGTATTTATATGATATTATGTTATATATTTTTCTTCTATATTTTATTTATGCGAGTGTGACATATATTGGACATATTAAATGTAATAATAAGTTTTTAGCGAATTAGTATTAATTAGTATTTTGAACCAAGGAATTGAGTAGATACATATCCTTGGTGATCGACTCGTAATTTATTTTGTATAAGAACCCATAATACCATACAATAATTAACAATATAGTGTTATCCTCCTCGGAAAGCAAAGGATACATATATATTGTATATTATACAAATTTTCCTCGAATTAATTCATCATTCAAGATAAGTCATGACAAATTGAGAATGAAGCTCAGGAAACTTTGTTGCAGGCTTAAGCCTTAGTTACACCAGATGCGCGCTTGTATTTGGTGATAGACCGTGCTATTTAGATATTTTTAGAAATTAATTTCATTAACTATTGCAAAAATTGCAACATACATCATAGAGGCATTTTTTAACTCGATTCAGTTCGCTCTATCTACTTATGAGAGGTGATCCCAGGTGGTCCCGTAAGTCTGGGACATCTTGTATATATTTAATTTTAAATATACATTTATAAGATATATTAAAAAATGTGTAAAATGTATAAATATACACATACACACCGAATATCTCAAAATCTAGAATTCTTAATACAAAAAATTCTTAAATACATCTAAAAACGTGCGGGAAGGAAATTAGAGATTAGTATTATCCATAATTATTGACAAAGACGTTTTGTGATAATACAAATGTTTTATTATCTCAGGCAAGAATAAATTATTTTAATTCCTCTCGATCGTTGTGTCGTGTAACATAAACGAAGTAGAAGTGGGAGATAGACAATCGTTAGAAATCTTAACTATGCTCTCTTGGAGTTTAATTAAAACCGCTTGAAGATCAAAACACATAAAATTTGCAAAACTTCTAAAGTTCGCTAATTGACGTATGGAGTTTGCTCATAACTTAAATAGGAAAAAATGAATCGTTCATTTGTAATGTACATATACATACTGCGATATGTCAATAATATACAACAGATGGAAGATAAAGAAGTCTTTTAGCTGAAACAGCAAGTTTCTATAAACTAGCGCAAGATCATATAAATGCGCGCATACATTTTTTTCTAAAGCTGATTCTGTCGTCTTAATTATATCAGTAATTATAAAAGTAAAAAAAAAATCAGAACATAATGAATTTATCCTATATTTTGTATAATTATATACATAAAATTATAATTATACAAATTATAAGATAAATTCATTATGTTTAGATTTTTTTATTTAGAACACTTTCATAGTTATCGACACAATTATAAACTTCTAACGTATGTAAAATTATAGATTTATACGGAAATATATACTCGACACTCTTATTTAAGCTCAATATTTCTCCACAAGTCATTTTTTGTCATATACATTGCACTTATTAACGCTAATTATTAATACAGTACTCGCCGTTTCTATAAAAAATAATTATCGTCGATAAGAAAGTCTGCAGCGTTTTTTCGATTTAATCAGCATTCCGCATTGTCAACTATCCAAATGTATTAATATCTAATTGCGTTATTGTGCAGCGTGCCTAGCGAAAAGACATCCGCGATTTGTAGTCGCTAGTTGCGTTGGACGCAAAGTAAAAGAATGCTCGGCCTCTTCGGAAGGACTAAAAAAAAAAAATGGAAAAGGAGAACAGGTAATATCACTTCTGCATAGTGCAGTAATGTGATCTCATAGTAACATATTATGTAGTATTTCCTTAGCATCCTTTCAACAAATGTACTGTACATTGCCAGAGTCTCGATGATTGATACAATCGCTCTATTAGCCTGTTACAGCTTTTTTGCTACCACATTGTGGTACGCACTTTATCCTTTTCGTGAAAAATTTACGAAGACGATCGGCGTGCTATTGCACGTCCGTTCCCTTCAACCCTTCAGCCGGTAGCTCAACCCTTTGCGCTGCGGAGCGTCAATTCGGTTTCGGTCTGCATTCCGTCTCAATATTACTACAATACTATAATCATATAACATTACGTTACCACTATAATAGATGTTATTATTAAATTATTATAAAATAGTAACCCATGTATTATGAAATAACGTTAATACAATATTATTATATTTATAATGATAATAGCAATAGTTATTATATTCCTAATATATATATCCCAATAATCCGTACTCCAGGACTCACGAGATCAGTTGACGCAAAGCTGCCGTTTGTAATTTGTCTTAATTAGGTCCCTGAGTTAATTTGTTTTCTTCAATTGCGTCGCACAAGCGACAATTCCCAATTTCCAATAATTGCAGTTTTATTCGTTAATCTGGAGATCAAGATGACAAATTTAATCGGCATTGATAGATAAAAAAACCCTGGTAAAGAAAGTAGATAGAGAACAATTTCTATCAATTTGTATATTATTTTATATAAGTTTATATCATATTCTATCATCTACTTCGCGGGCATCATGATTGATCAGCTATGAATTCTATCGTATTTTATCAAGATTTATACATATTTATTCCTATAAGACTTGATTCAAATTAGTGAATTTACGTGAACCAGATTTTGTATTCAAAATGATAGGATTTTTCTATCATTCTCTATCAACTTTTTTTTATCAAGTATCTTAAATAAAATCTGCTTCACGTTCTATTACTGACGAGAGAATTCCGAGCGCAAAGCGTTAGTTTCCTATTTATCTGTAGCGAGGTGTTTCGTATGTCTAATGAAAAAAAAAAACGCGAGTCATAGTAATGATATCAAAAGTCAAAACGGACGGTACGAGTTTGACTCGTCTTTATGTCATGAGTTATGGATGGACAAAGCTATCGGTTGAAGGGTTAACATTATTTTTCTCACGAAGGAACATATAGTACATTCAGGAGAACGTGTGCTAGAAAGCGAATGATATTTCTTGTGTTCAATGCCTTCTGAACGCACTTGGTGCGCTAAGAATGACGGAAGACAGACTGCACGCTCCAAAACTATCCTCATTGAAAAAGTATTCCAAGTTTTCAAAGTACGGTAAGTTTCTCGAGTGAGCCAGTCAGTCTCTGAACATCGCGTCTGTCTGTTGGGCATATACCATGAAGAGACTGCAAATTATTCGCAGCGTTATTATATATAATAGATCACTCAGAATGAGCAAAACTGTGCACTGACTTATCAGTATTGAAAGTGTGAAAAAACAAAAAAAAAATAAAAACGACATGTGTACGTGTTCCTTTCATGATTTTTCTTTATTTCATACGGTTACGCCGGTTGAATAATCGTGTAAATTGTTACGCGTCGAACAATGACATAAATAAGTGAATATGAAGTATTTTCTAGACTACGAAAAATAGTTTACCTTACATTAAAACTTGAGTTACAACTGTCAAAAAGGCAATTCGAGGTGCGGTGCGATTACTCGCTATCGCATTCGGCGCAATTTTTCGTTCGACAATTCATAAAAAATTGTATTAACTAATGGCATTAGTTTGCTCTCCGAATAACGAGCAACTCGCTCTTTTTGTCCTGTATGTTTTTTCTTTTTTTCGCATATTTATGTTATAATCATCCGAATCAATAGCGGAAGAGATACGGGAGAGAATCATTTTCTTCTCGATTATAAATAAAGATATACCTGAAGATATTTGTACTAAAAACATAACTCCCGCACCGGCTCATCGCGGTCGGACTTGCGGGAGTTAAAAGTTTTCTATATCCTGCGCAGGGGGGATTCATTAGCATACTGAGAAAGTTCTCATTAAAAATTACTAGAGTGCACGTAGAGTGCGTGGAAACAGTTGTATGCCGGTAGCTAATGGATTGAACAATAAATTTTCAATTTCTTTTTTACATAGATTATATAATCTAGCAAATAAATAACGAACTATGTAAGTATAACTAAGAAATACATTTAGATTCCTATTTTTCTGGGCACGTTTTTTGGGCATTCGAATTGTTGAATCGTTAGATCGATAAACAAATTGGATCTATGAATTCCTGGATCCATCTTGGTATGCCTAAATTCTTGAATACTCAGAGATTTCAATATTTAGACATATAGAATGTTTTAATCTTTGCTTATCTAGATTCTTCTAAACTTATTTTTGAATTTTTAACATTTAGATTAAAAAATCAGATATGGACGAATAAACTTCGGAAAAGTGCAAATATATCAGATCACAACTACCTACTAATAGAATAATATACACAAGAGAGAGAGATAGAGGGGGGGAGGGAGAGAGAGAGATATTTCCAAATCATTCTCGTTAAGGAATGATCAATTCCAAATGTCTTTAAAAATCCGGCAACATACTTTTTCCGACACACGCTGTACAATGCGCAAAAATGAATAGATTGGAAAAATGTGAGAAGAGTAAATCGGAAACTGTTCTTCGCACATCACGTTATATCGATATTTTAAAATAATATATATCAATGTTATTCTGTAATCTGGTATAGGATTTACCAAAATGTATTTCTGCATGTTTTACTATTATTGTTAGACATGGCTAGTGTTCTTCTTTTAATCGGTGGATCTCCGATTTTCATATCACGCTTTCAAAGTGACCTCACTGGAATGAAAAAGGTTAGTTTTTTTAGCAAATTTCAGAACAACATTGATCGTTTTGATTCTGCGTTATTTATATGTAATCTGCATAACGATTCATGTAAGAGTATTACAGATTTCAGAAGTACAGACGAATCCTCAATAATATTTCGGCCTATCAACTACAGTGTACAGTGTAAATTAGAAAAAAGTTATCTCCCTGTCGCATGGTGTAGAATCTCTTTTACTAATATTTCCCCACCAAAACCATGAGAAAAAGGATTTTTTAAATGAAAAGCATCAAAGACAATCCTTTGCTGTCTCGTCTTCTCCATAAAACTCAGGTAGAGGAGCAGGTTGTCCGCACATTACGCCAGAGACGCCGTTTGTTTTTACCGAATGACCGAAAGTATTCGCACAGGTACTAAGATCCTTGGTTATTTTATTAATCTCTATACTCTCTTCGCAATTGATTGGCAACTTCATGTTTGGTACGGAATATATGTTATCTCCAGCAACATTGTTTTTCAAGGATGTAGTTGTTGATGGTCTGTTCAAGTAATAATCCTAAAAAAACATCAATATTATTCGAATTTATATTTCAAATTTTATACTTCTGGATATATTTCATTTGGTACTGGGTACATTTCGGTTTCAATATTTTGGTTCAATTATATATTAGTAACGATAAGAAAGAAATGCATGTTTCGAAGAAAATATAATATTTCTTAAAAATATTATATTCTTAGATTAATTAAATTTTATAAAATAAATTATATATTTGTTAATTGTTTAAATCTTTAAATCATTAAATTATTGAGAGAGGATTTGCAAGTGCTATATTTTTTATACATTTTTATGTATGTTACACTATTACACTTTTAATATCTTTTCAAAGATGATTACTTTATCTGTGTTAAGAGGAGAAGAAATTTGTGTCTGTGGTGTTTGGCTGCAGTGTGCCAAGGCTATTAGCTCTTTTTGACTTTCTCTAGCGTCCACTAAGAATATACTCTCCTTCACTTCTTTTGCGTTATATTCATCGATTCTGAAAAAAGACATTCAAAACATAAAATATATGTATATATGTACACAAAGATTTCTCGAGTGAGACAATTATTATCTCAATATCTCCAATAATATCTGATTAAATTATTGACTTTTGAACTGGACTTGTATTCGCCATATATTACTTACTTATCATATATGACTGCATGCAAGCCGAGTTTTTTCAGATATTGGATAGTATCTTTATCATTGTTGTCGTCGCCCCAACAGAAGATAATTAATCCCGTATCCTTGACTAACTTAACCTGAGACGGATCCCGAAGAATATCTTCAGTATGAACGTTAATTCCTAAGATATCCGCAGCTAATGCGTGTCTCATGGCCATCGGGATGGTTTGACATCTTGGGTCGTGATAAGTGGGATATTTCGATGTAATACCTTGTGTTAAAAATACCACTGGATACTTATTTTGTTTAAGACGGATCATTGCACAAATATCCGGATTGAACGAAGAAAACACGATTTTTCGATCACCCCCATATTCTAATACTACTTTCAGAATAATGTCTAGATACATGTTGAGATCAAAAGGATGATTGAGTTCAAATGTGCCATCCTGTTAACAGAAATATAAAATTAACTTATTATTAATTATTTTATTAAAAAGAATAGTATTACATTATATAATATTATTAGAATTCTCCTATTCTCACCTTCAATTGCATAGTCCATTTAATTTCAATATTGCATCCAACGTGCTGCTCCAGTTCTTGCAGAACAGTTTGCAATGTAGGGAATGGTTGATGATCTTCCAAATCTTCGTCAAAAAATCTTGGATTTTTTTCACGGCCTTCGGCTACATGATAAACCTGAAAGAAAAATCTTTCTAGTGAAATATACGTACATGTATGATATTCGTTTAATCGTAAGAGTCAATAAAGTGTAGACCATATTGTCGTTGACGTTCAAAGCAAGACGAAACAATCATACTAGTTATGCAATTACATCTTGTCATTTCGTGCCGTTCGTGACATGTTAGTTGCATGCTATGATCGACGAAATTATACAAGATGTGCCAGAAACATTTTGGGGAACTGAGCTGCCGGAGAATGAGTATAAGAAACAATATTTATTACATTTTTTGTTTTGGTATAACTTTTGAAATAATTAAAATATGATATTTTCTTAATATTTTCTCATCTCCCAACTCAGTCATGAAATTCTAGCCTCGCACTTTGAAAGAGGTTTACTTCAAAGTGTGAGCATTTATATATTGTCGTAGGGGGTGAAACTGGTGATTGACAATTTTATTAAGAATACAGAATGTCTAGACATTAGAAGCAAATTCATGAATGTTACTTAGGCTGTATTTTGCATTTGCATAATGATTTTATATTGGACCAATTTGACTTGCTATAAGCTATCAGACTGAATGTTCATCGAATAATTTTGTTTTTGAAAAGAATTTGCGACAGTAAAGAAAATATCAAATTAACCGTGGCACTCAGTTTTAATTTGTTTACCAGAGATTTCTGCTATCAAGAGACACATAAATCTCGTAAACAGATATCAACTGAAACCTGTTTAAATATGTTAATATAATAAATTTTTTTATTCAAATTCATATTTGAAGAAAAATAAATTTGTAAATAAACATTCTATTTTAGCTTCTAAGAAAAGCACAACATATTTGCGCATTGAGAAAGAGTACAGTTTCTCGTGATAGTAATAATATTCGAGATATTGATAGATTTGATCGTTTGATAGCTTTTGAAAAAAAAGCATGCAAGTCGAATTATACATTTTGAGCGACAAGTTAGTTGGCGCAAGCGGTATAAAAGCTCACCAGTCTGTTAACCCTTTGCTCAGCTTTATCAACGAAATAGAGCACTTTACCCAACGAGTCCTTCGGGTAACAATAATCCTGTTGAATATTAAAAAATAGACAAATACGAAAGAGCATGTCATTTCTGAATGTTGGTATGTGAGCTGATGGACGTTTACGTACGACACACTCCTGCGTAGTAATCTACTTTTCTTTTATTATAAGAGAGTAATCTACTTTTTCCTTTATTAACACAAGAAGCAAAACATTGATACAAAGCGTTCTCGTAAAGATCCTATTGTCATTCAATTACTATTACATAAACAATCAATGGATTTGTTAATTAAGTTAACGGAAGATTGGTAATTAATAAAATTTTTTTAGTTAGGAACTCTCAATAATATCACCAATAATCGCATGATTAGTGTTCAATATACATTTTTAGTTAGTGTTCAGTATACAATTTAAAATATAATAAATATATTTTCTCTCCAATATAGCTTTTTTAAAAATTAAAACCTGAATTGCACTTACTTTTCTTCTAAATATTAAAAGATAAATACATTTTTTAACACGTTCTTCCATCGGCTTAATTAATTATATGTTCTAAGAGCACAATATTAATCTCTAAATATAATTAAACATACAATCGTGTGTGTGTGTGTGTGTGTGTGTGTGTGTTCTATAAAAATTAATTAGTGTTATAAAAGATATAATAAAATATAATAAAATATACATGTGTTCGTTCAAAAGTATGAGTTGTTAAACATATAAATTATAATTATACTACTAATAATTATACTACTAACAATTATACTACTAACAATATTGACATACATTGTTATAATACAAATATATAAAAAAATAAGTGTAAATACATTAAAAAATGCAAGAAATAAAAATGCATGACATAAGAAATGTCAAAAGTTATTGTAATAATTAATAAATACCTTCAGTAGATGAAGCTGTTCTAAAGTAAGATCTTTCACAGGTATTTCCAGCATGTCCATAGCTTCTATCTGCTTTTTACGCTTCATCGAGATGGATACGTAAAAGTCGTGATAAATCACAGGTATAAGATCCTTTGACAGTTGAACATCAAATTCAACCATGTCCGCACCATGATATGACGCGGTCTTCAAAGATGCGACTGTGTTCTCGCGTACATTAGCACAGCTGTAAAGATTTTAATTCCAAATTAGAACATATAGCACATATTCTAAAAAAATTTGATATAAAATTATAAATAGAATAGAATAAATATAAAATAGAATATAGAAATAAATCCAGAATTTTGATTGCACAGATATATAGATATAGATAAATAGTATTTAGATATAAATCAACTCACTTCTTCGTTTCGAATTTGAAAGATGTGCCAAGTCCTCTGTGTCCTACATCTAAGCCTGACCAACGCTGCTCCCAGTGCTTCGCGTATGAAATACTCATATCCCATGGATGATCCGGTATTGGTTTTATAACAACATATTCCACTGTCAATTGGCCTGTAATGTAAGATTTTATTACAGAGGAAATAATACATATACAATTATTGTTTACAATTATTATTATTATGTCTTAATAAGTTTATTAATTATAATTTTAAATCGCTATAACCTGATAAATTTTTATACAATCAACAAATATTATGGTTAAATAGAATAAAATCCAAGCATTCAATATATTCAAGAATTCTATTCTTAAACTTAAATTACACAGTGATGCCAATGTTTAATAATGGAAAAAAAATATTCTTATATATTCGTTGCTATTAGTATTTATTTACTTACCAATGGGTCTATGTTTTGTACTAGTAATTGGTACGGTTAAAAGCCCAACACTAGGTTGTAAAGCACATGGCAAGATGTAGCTGAAACCAATGTGATTTGGTGGTTCTCCCGGAAAACACCTTGAGCTGTACACGTAGTAGTCCACTAAGTACCCCTGAAAAAACAGTCTACTCAATACTTTCTTGAAAAGACCCTAACATTTTAAACAACACACACCAATGATTCTTTCAATAAATTTTAGCTCATCCATTTTCCGTGCTTGCTTCAATATTAATCATGTTCTATAATTAACAACAAACAAATAAGAGCAAAAAATAATTTAATTTTCTGCTTTTAAAGTAAGAATTTTGTTTCTTTGTTTGCAACAACAGATAATTTACATAGTTTTGGAATTTGTTTGGTAATAAAATATTACATTAATACGCGAATATTCTTTCAACATATGTATATCCTATTATACGTAAACTAAGTTGCCTGAAGCTTCCGGCGTAGAAATTTTGAATCGTTGGTAGGCAAGAGCAACAAATTTCTGGTAATCTAACAATGAATCGGATTAATAATTGCTAAACGTTGTACACTGCCTGGTGACGCGTATTCCGCAACACCTGTCGAGATCATTCAATGTTAAATTTCGACAGAGCGAAATAAAGAGATTAAAAAGAGTAAGTCAGTAACGTTTGCAATTCGGATTCAGAAGATTCTGACAGCATAGATTCTGGCATTGGCCGCACAGCGGTGACACGTACAGTACAGAAGAAGTCGGTCAGAGCTAGAAAATATTAGTAGTATACTAAAAGGATATAGGAGTGATGGGAATCTCACCATTTTCGACGCACACAGATGGATATGAGATGTGATAGCGTTGATATCGCATTTGAGGGGTTTACGGAATGGCTGCTACTCGCGTAAATCGAATAAACAACAGACATAAATATAACGAAACGAAAGACTCGATCTATCTGAAATTTACAACTATTTATCGACTAATGTATTTTTCGAAAAGAAATAAACACACGAGACGATTTACGAGAGACCAGCCGAAGGATGGGTCTGGTAAGGTAAACGACAATCAAAACCATCATATCTCTGTGTGATGTCATGTGACACAGATGTAAAGTGGTAGACGATGCTTAGCATCGATACATCAGATTGCATGTTAGCATCATCATTTGCACCAGAGGTCTTGCTTTTGTACAAGTTGAACAGGTTGTCTTCGTGTTCCTTGGGACTGGACACCATGCGATCACGTCGCTGCTGGCATTTCCGAGGAGGGAGATAGCTGCTGGACAAGTTTAATTATCGTTTACCAAATAATTCGAACAAGTTGTGAGGAGACGTGGCCAGCCTACTCGTGGTCTACTGAAAACTCACATGATATGGTCAATGCGTATTCTTAGTGTGCTCAGCTCATTTTGTGAATCACATCATTAACCAGAAATTTATTGCTCTGCCGTGCCAACGACTTTGTTGTTCTTCAGTCGGGTCGCACACGAGTTTCCCCGAGAATTTTAGTGCGTGTATGTAATTTTGCGTGAGAGATTTCAAAGGGAAACGTTAATGTATTTTGATTTGATCATTCATTGTAAAATTAAAATATCATATTGTACGTATTGGAGAAGCAGATGTAATATTTTTGGACGCATGAAACTACAACTGACATGAAGTTGAAGAATAAAAGAGATCGCATTTGAAAGTGTGTACACAGTATCAAAATCGCAAGCAATGCAAGCAATAAATCCCAGCTTTTCACATAATAGTGTATATAGTATGATGCCTTGTAATGAGACTATCTATATGAAAACTTACGATTGTTTCAGGATACCGAACGGCGACATTGAAGAATAAAAACTCGTCTTCATTGTAAGGGCGGCCGAATTGTTCCTGGACCGTTAATCTAGCCTCTTCATCATTCATCACCTGGGAATATACATAACTATTGTTTAACTTTACTTACATTATTTATGACAATAATGTAGTAAGATATTTAAAAATTGGCACCTACAGCAATTTCTGTAATACTGGTAAAGGCAGGTTGATCAACAATATCTTGTGTATCCATAGAAAGACTATCGTCTATACAGTCGCCTCCAAATTGTTGCAGTTCTAAAGAATTATGCCTAACTAGATTTACAGGTGTCATCTGTAATAAAAATAAAGTATACAATTATCCGTTTTGAAAATACTTTGTACGAAACCTTATTGTAGCAACTCTGTTTTATATATTTAAGAAATTTATTATTATTTTAAAGATAAACAGTTTATCCAGTTTCCTTTTAAGAATTAAAAAGTAATTTTCTTTGTGTTAGAAATACTAAATAACAGAAATAAAATAAAATATAATACCTTAATATGAACTTTTTTGTTTTGTAGCCGATTCTTCCACAATTTAATAGGATTGTTAAAAAGTTTAAATTGTATCACAGTTTCATCTGTCAGCCAACCTCGTTCAATTTTGCAGTAATTATTATGATAGCCAAATTTATCAGGATCTGGCAATGTATCATTGTTAAAATTGCTTGGTGCTGTAAAATAGATAGATAGTTTAATTAATTAATGCATACATTGTTGTCCTTAAAATATTTTTAAGAACATTATTTGATGTATTGTTCACATAACATTCGTAGCATATATTATAATTTTAGTCATAAAAAGTATGATCAATAAATACATACTATTTTTCCTAATTAACCGTGGTGTCATATGAGTTTCCCATCTGCGAATAATCAAAGTTTTGGCCGAATTTTTAGTGCCGTTTGATTGGCAGATAACAGCTATAAAATATCTAAACTCGATATTTGCGTCGGTGGGAAGAGAAACCTTCTGTGAGAATATTCGTCCATCACTGGAGTAAATTAATATTATTATAATATTTGATATAGAAAGCATAATAAATATGATTAACGTCTTTATAACTTGAAAAAAAAAAAAAAATAATAAACGCTTTAAACAAATATTTGTAAAGTACAATTGAAGAGCAAACTTTCAAAATTTGTTCAAAATTTATAATTTTTAGAAAACGAGGAAAACAAAAAATACACACACAAGAAAATTGTGCATTTTACAGAAAATAACAATATGTTAATTAGTAGAATGTGACGTATTAAACAAAATTGTTGTGAATCATTACTAACTAATGTTAAACAAATGCATTTTGCTTGTCTCTAGTTAAAAAACATAGTGCACACCAGTGTTGTGCAAGGTACTCTATTTTCAATACCTAGGTACAGGTACAGGTACTCTAGAAAAAATGTACCGAGGTACAGGTACAGGTACTAAAAAAATAATATACTTAGGTACAGGTACAGGTATTTTAAATGTACCTTAAAAGTATCTTATAGGTACTTTTATTTTTAACATGAAAGCTCAGGATAAATTGCATTTTGACAACAAAATGCAATTTCGACAGCTTATTTGTTAAATATGATCTATATATTTCATGTATCTGCACGTAATATTTAATTATTATACATATATCTTATGTATACATACATAAATATTCTATGCAAGTTTAATTTATAAAACCATTTTAGTTTTATCAGAATTGACATGTACATATTGACATATGATACATGAATGTAACAAGATACACATTTACTTATTATAAAAATGTGACATTTTAGTACCCCGCTATTATTAAAATGTTACTTATTAACACAGTATCTGAATGTGTAAATAAATTTATTAGAATGATAACATTTAAAAAATCATAAACATTTAGACTTTCATTCTAATTTAGATCATTCTAATAAATTTACACACTCAAATCTTGTATGATGAAGTTTTCAGTTAAGCAATTGTGAATTTGAAAAATAACTAAAGTGTACCTAAATATATAGGTACCGGTACACAAGAAATGATACCTAGGTATAGGTATAGATACCAGAAAAAAAAGTACTCGGTACAGTTCCTAGGTACGCAAATTTGTACCTAGTTACAGTACCTAGGTACTGCTCAACACTGGTGCACACACATTTCAAAATGTCTATATTTTTTTTCAGTATATAAATTGACGACGGAAAAATACTTTCTGAATCATTTTTTTCGAGGAAGTGTTTTAATCCCTAAATCTCGAGATAAACCACTATAAAAAAATATGGATGGAATATTTTTTAATGCTCTACACATATCCAAAGCGCATCGATAAGTAATACTTAGTTCCAACCGTTCCCTTGTCAGAGTAGCTTATAATGAGTCTTTCAACTAAATACTACGATATCTTTAACAAAAAAATAAAATTTTTTTGAACAAAACACATTTAAAAAATCTGCTCCTCAATTATGTAATTAAGTATAAACATTTATACCTATACACACATATATATATATTTCCTCTTAATTACTTTTAAATTATAGAAATAAAATTATCGAATAAAATTAATTGTTTTCAAGCTATTAATAATATTCAATACAAATTAATATAATGTATAAGATGTCCAAAATATAAATATTTTTATACACAAAAAGAAAAGAAAAATGATGGAGAAAAGAAAGAAAAAGTTTTGTAAAACTTTCACAATTAAGAAAAAAATAATATTTCTTTATATACACGCACACTTACTCTTCAAATATACCATCAGCTGCATTATCTCCATCTTCTTCGCTATAGAAATCCCCACTACTATTACTGTCTAACACTACAGGAGACTCCCTCTGACTGCTATGTTCTTGCGGCATTAGGATGGCCTGATTGTGATTCCAGGCACCTAACTCAGATAGATTTCCAACCACGTAGACTACTTCACTTTTCTCCAGGTTAGGTACCTTTAAATTTAAAGCAAATTATAAATGCAGATAAAAATATACATCTTTGTTCTGTTTAAACGGAAATTTCTGGAAATATTTACAAAAAGTATTGAAAAAAAGAATGTCAGCAAAAATTACCTGGACTCTAAAAATCCAGTCTCTTTTAGACCTCATGTTAGAACCTTTTGCGACCGCCACTTCGATGATGATAAACTAACACAGAGTTTGTTTGATTTTCTTCTTATTACTTCACCCTTAAAAAATATCGAATGCATATTACTATGTGCTTTTTTAAGATTATGTTCAATATTATTTATATTTCAAGACATGCAATACATATATAGTTAAAAAAATAGTTATTATATAATTTGTCACTTCTCTAACAGTATATCAATGATTATGCAAATCATTTACAATATATTCTGTACATAATAAGAATTGAAACTCTGCAGAAAAAGTTAAATTGAAAAATCAAAATTTTGTACATTGAAAGACTCATTAAAAAATCATTTACTAAACAATAATAAGCAATAATAAGCAATAAATAAACAATAAACAAGATATACTTAGAAAAGTGTCTGAGAAATATTCCATGAAAGATTTCTATAGTAGATAAATCTAGTAAATTAATATAACTAAACAGCGATAAACATTTTATGATGCAAATCAAGATAATTACTTATCACATTTTATTCTTTAGTCTCTCACTTAAATCAAGTGATATATGCTCTACAAATTATTTGATTGATACAAAATCTCATTATAAATACTTAAAAATATACTTTATTAGAACAATGGAAATAATCCATTGTTACAGAACAATGGATTATTTCCATTGTTCTGATAAAGTATACACACATTTGATTATTTCGGTTGTTTATATATTTTTAAGTGAAATGACCTCACACTTGACATCAAAATATTATTTGTGATAAAATTTTGGATTAAACATTCTCACTATCAAAATATCCCTGAAACAATAAAACTACGAATTCATTTTATTCCCTCAAATACTTTTGAAACAAACATATCTCATTGATTAAGAAATCTGTTTCTTGTAGCTGTACTGTCTATAATTAAGATGAAATAGATACGTAATTGAATGCTAAAGAGAAAGAAAGAAAGAGACAAAGTGAGAGATATAAAAAAAAGCTCAACTATAAAAAGTCTTTCGCGTTGATGAGGCTGCCTTGTGGAATCTTTTGCGCGATGCAACAATCATCTCTCTCTCTCTCTTTTATCCGGGTTCCCCCCCCTGCCTCGATATTGTCAGCACGCAACGGCACGATGCAACATGAACACAAAAAACGATAATTGATTTAGCCAGCGACTTTCTCCACGGAAGCGTGGCAATTTAACGATCGAGGAAAATATCGTCCGTGCGTGCGCGCGTATGCGTGTGCGTGCGTCAGTTTCTTTCGCAAAAACAATTTTTGTTTTTTTACTCTCTGAAGATATATACGCGCCTCGGGGATACTCTCTCCGAGAGTGATATCGGACAACGGCATAGGTATTTATTATTACTTAGAAACTCAAGGCTGAAGATAGAATTGCTTCTGGAATCTAACGGCGGACTTGGAGCTTCGCAGAGAGCGAATTCTCGCTGCAAGATTTTCGCTAATAGAAAAAATTGTACTTTGTACCCATCGAGGACGGAAGTCCATCCGTCGAAGTGAAAGAAGAAAAAAAAAGAGAAGGTCTCCCCTCTCCGATTATCGACTGACACACTGTATAAACTCCAGTGTTTTACTGTTCGAGAGCAACTCTTATCTCTTTCGATGGATGTTTTATCTTCTCCAGAGATCAGCCTCAGAACGTCTTGCGACGATTCTCTTCTCCTCGTCGCGATACCGCTCGGAAAACACGTTTAATCTTATAACGTACGCGTTACTTACGATGTGGAAAAGTTTCGACTCTCGGCGATCCCGTTTTCAGGAGATCCTCGGCTGTCCTCGCGCGATCTCGTCGCTGCTTGCCGCCGTTCGACGACTCGCGTTATTTAACGAATGCCTGTGGCAGTCGAAGTCGTTCCGAATACTTCACGGTACTCGACATAATCGTGACACGATCGTAACCTTGGCCCTGCACGAAACCAAATGCACCACACGCACAACGCACTGACATGGAACTGTCACAGCGATGGCGGACAACAGTACGGTACACGCGATGCTTCGAAAGCCTTCTGCTTCTACGGGTCTGCGTCGTCTGCGATGTCTGCGGCTTCTGCTTCCCTCGTATGTACCTTTAACCGCTTCAACCTATCGTGGACTGCGACTATAGGACGCTGATAGGAGTAGGATTGGTAGGAAGGGCGTATTCGAGCTCCAATAGAAAACTTTGTTTCGAGAAAGGAAAAACGTATTCGACCGTCGAGAAGTCCCTAGAACAAGCAATCTCTACAATCGGAGGCCACACGAATTCCCTATATTGGGCGCCAAAAATTAATTATCGTTTGGCGCATCATGCGATTCGCATTTTGTAATTGTTAAAATATAAGTTGGTGTGGTCAAGCTCGAAAAATGCAAAATCAGAAAGCTGGAGCTCCTAAGTTCGAATCCATTACATCGTTAAAAGTCGACTTGTTAGAAATCAATTCTGAAATATGACATAATTATATATGTATATGTAGAACGTCTATAAAGCTTGAGCTCAAGAATAATTTAATAATAAGAGAACAAAAAAAGAGTAATTTATCAATGAAAAAAAACAAAAACTTGATCAACTTAATCAATGATTAATGTGTTAATTGACATACTTTTACTGTTTTATTAGAATTGATAAAATTTTTTTAACTTTATGGACTCATCATGATGCCTAAAAAATTTTGCAAAAGTATTAGACTTTCTAACGTAAAAGCTTAAAGTTTCTTCTACAAAATCGTTTTTAAGAAATGTCTTTGAGACTTTTATTGATTATGAGTTAGTTCGTGGATTGAACCCAGACAATATAAAGCGTTTCAACAAAATTGCATAAATCTATGATTGCATTAATTATAATACCGACCGCATACAGTAAATTTGTCTTCAATGATTTTGAATATTACTATTGTACACATATATGTATTGCCAGTAATTTAATTGCAACCCAAGTAGTACCGCCGTTTGCAAAACGCTAAAGAAGCTTTTTTTAACGCTTTATATAAGTGCTGATGTGTGCTACTTGAAAAAATAATAACTGCATCAATATTACCTTGCGTTATCAGTATGACAGCATTGTGTGATTCTACATATATTTATGTCGGCAATACTACGAATTTTGACGATAACGATTTTAAAATTGTTGGTAAATTACTGTCAAGTTGCTACCCAAAATTGTCATGTTGTGAAAGCATCAAGTTGCCAACAAATGTGGACTCATTTACTGCAATTATATAATAGCAAAATACATACATATTTAGTAATGCATACTCAGTAAGCGATGTCAGCAACAAGACAGACACGTTTGCTATCTACAAAAAGAACATTTTGACTTTGCTCATAACTTTGTTTAAAAAATCATCCTATTTTAATTTAAAAAAAAAAAACCAGTTTTTTAAAACTAAATTAAACTTTGCTTTATCGAAATGAATTGTCAATTTGAATAAAATATTGCATCCTGAAATTACATGAAAATTTTTTTTTGAATAAAGCATTTCTGCACTCGTTCAATATATATAAAGCATTCGACCTAGAAATGTTTAACTAAAATTATTATTACGATGTATTTAGATAAGAATATATTTAAGGGGAAGTTATTTCAAATTATTAGAGTTGCGTTTTAAAAACCGACTGTGTTCGGCGCGCAATTTGGGGGAACTTTTCAACGTATATTACTTAAAAATATTGCGAAGAATATTACTACGTCGACTCGCCATCAGAGGTCTATGGATATTCGTAAAGTTTCTTGCAAGTGCTGAAATACGCGCATATCTGTATATATAGAATCTCGATTTAAGAACTAAAACAGGCGTCTAAGGTAGGCTTCCACTACGTTACCTTACTGATGAGTCCAGTAGTGGAAGCCGGGACGAAACGCCAACTTGTGATATTCTTCCCAATATATTAAATTAATTTTTAAGAATTCGGTTGCGGCTGTTGAGGACTCTGTGAAGTCGAAACTTTCCGTATATACCGATATTATTATTATAATAAATTTATATTTCTAACAACTCTCTCTCTCTAGTATAGCTCAAATTTGTTCTTGACCGGGGAGGTATATTAAGTTTAATTTGAAAAATTCATTTGAGCGGATATTATAATTTAATTTAGAATATATTTTAGATAAAAATATGTAAGGTTAAAACAAAAAATAATAACTATAAGTGTAATTGTTTCTGTTTGGTTTCAACGAACATGCACGGGCTTATTTTTTCTTAAACATGAAAAACAGTTTAAAAGATTATGTTATATTTAGAATATATACGTACAACTATTTTTTCTAAGCTGCGTTATTCTTACAAAAATCTTTAAAATTTTTTTTATCAATTATATTTAATAGTCGATAGTCGCTAATCTCTGCGTGATAAAACAAACTGAAACAAACACACATAGCACACATAATAGGATCCGTTAGTCCGGGGATTCATAGGTGTTCTTATAAATATAAGTAAAAAAAACTCCATATAATAGAAAACTTTTACTTTCATAAAACAAAAGGATTCGAGACGATGTGGCTAAAAATGTATGATAATTTTCTTTATATAACTTTCAAAAAATAAGTAAATAAATGCTTATAATAAATATAATAGTTTAAGCTCATAGGTTTAAGTTCTACTATATCTCTTTCCTTAAAAAAAAAAAAAAAAATAGTTTTACATGTGCGCATATGTAGAGGTAACAACTCTATTAATCCCCACCCAGCCTGTATTTGCGATGTAGGTAAATAAAATAGTAGCAGCGTGATCTGCGTGATGAATACGTTGAACCTTTATTTATCATGCGTGATGTACTCGTAACGTTTACGCGCGTGACGTTGCGAATTAGTTTGCGTAACGCGAGCGATTTGCTCGGTTTGCTCTACCGATCTGAATAGAAAGAGCACTAAAATGTCGCTCATCAAATCAGAGTGAGATACCAATGACGGCCGTGTAGCATAGTGTGTCTCTGCGTGATAAGAGCGTATCGAATTACAAGCGAGGGGACTAAAAGTGGCGTGAAAAAGGATCATTAAGGTCATGTGACATTTCTGCGAAACGTTTCCCGGGTATTCTATAGAAAATCTAGGAAAATCTCCTCCTCTCTCTTATCTTGAAATTCCCCGATAATATACGTTGAAATCACTTAGAAAGTTTAGATTTCCACAAACAGAAGAGCAACAAACATCCAGATATATTTTCTTCTTATGATAAAAAAAAATATCGAAATAAAGAATCGAAATATTAGGAAAAACGAAGGAAAGCTTTTTTCTCATATAATAATATCTGAGATACAGGAGAGATTCTGATTTTATCTTTGTGAAATTCTTTAGATTATATCACAGTTGAAAAATTTACTAACATAAATTTTTAAAACATTTTCCATGTGTTTTAAACTAAAATTTTTATGTTAATTTAATATGAGATGAATACTTATATTAGAAAGTAATACAAATACTATATTATGTAAAAGGTTAACACAAAATACACTATATGTACGAGTAACATAATTTGAAAATTGTAGAAACGTATTTCTTCGTAGTAAAATTAATATTTATAATATATATATGTTAAATTAACACATGCATTATTATTTATTTATCTTAGAATTTACATTTTTAAACTATATTATTTTTATGTTTTTGATTTATTTACTTATAAATTATGTTATTTCAATACTAAGAAATAGTGAACACATTAATTTAACGCAAAATATTGAAATAATACCATTACATTATTATATTAAAAATTTATAAAATGCAACACAAAAATTTTAACTAGAACTATAGTTTTAATACATTTGTTTTTGTTATGATATCATGTAAAATCCAAACATTGAAAACGTGAAAATATTACAAACTGATTTTTAATTGATATATTCAAAGAATTAATATTCATTATGCTTATCGAATACCGATATAATATTAATGTTTCAAGTGTCTTATAATTTTACGACTAACAATAAGCATTATATTGTTCGAGACTCTCACAATTTTCGCGTCTGTTAGCATTAACTTTATTCAAATAATCAACGATTCATTGATGACGTCTGTAAATTTTCATCATACTTTTTTGCAGGATGTATAGCGATATGTCCTAGTCATCGCGATTGATCAAGCATATTACGATCACTTTCAAAAACAATTTATCACAATTTACGCATTATCCTGACGTCTAAATAATATTTATCGTTGTACCGTTACGCGCATCGGTTTTACGTCAAGTGTCGGATTAATTGCGGGCACGACATGGCGAGATCTATTTTTCGCAAATGTTACTAACAAGTTACATGCATATAGCACAAACACGTCAGATATTAGTAACTTTGAGCCCGTCGCCCGATGCAACGAACAAACACATTTAATCACATGTTTTCGAGATATTAACATTTTACTTATCAATGATAGCCGTAATGATATACGTAATTAAAAAAGCCGAGTTAATTACACGTTTACCATATTATATGCATGTTGTTGCATGTACGAAATATTATTTTATATATAATTTACAAAATGTAAATGTTATTTACAGTAAAGATAAATATTACAATAATATGTTTATTGTATAAATATTTAGGCGAAAAATTGTAGCCAATGTTTTTCTCGGCATTTTTTACATTGTTTAAATGTGAACATATCAGAATCCTCGACAATTCTACAATGTTATACAAGATGTTTTATGTGAGTGCCTTCCAACAAGCGACACAGATGACACAGTGTGACACAGTGTATCAATACGTCTTCGTTGTTCGCCAATGTTAAACAAGGATGAGATGATCATTGTGTTGTACTGTGTCGCTTCTTGGAAAGTACACATGTTATACAACTAGCGATTCAAAATAAAAAAAATTTACTGATTTTAAATAGTAGATAGCAGTTATAAGCTCGTTCTTTAATTAGATTCTCGATTACTTAACTTCCACAGAGAATCTTTACTTCTCGTGATCATTCTTATCAATGTTGGTTTTAATTTTAATATTAGTTTAATCAATTCTTTTTGTTTTATTCAAAAAAATATTGCTAAAGACCTGCGTAGAATTTTACACTCTATTGGTATCCCAAT